CTCCCGGACAGCCCGTGCCGTGCTCTCCATGCCCCGCTCCCGCCTCCCGGACAGCCCGTGCCGTGCTCTCCATGCCCGCTCCCGCCTCCCGATCAGCCCGTGCCGTGCTCTCCATGTCCCGCTCCCGGACAGCCCGTGCCGTGCTCTCCATGCCCCGCTCCCGCTCCTCTTTGCGGCAGTGTCTGGGGGCTTGGATCTCTCTTGTTTGGAGTGTTGAAACTACTGTTTGTAGTGTTTGCTGGAAGGTGTGGTTGTTTCCAGCAATATATTTGAGAATCCTAGAATGCCTTGGGTTGGAAGGGACCTTAAAGATCATCTCCTTCCAGGYTGCTCAGAGCCCCATTCAACCTGGCCTTGAACACTTCCAGGGATGGGGCATGCACAGCTTCTCTGGGCTACCTCTTCCAGGGCTTCACCACCCTCACAAAAAAGAATTGCTTCCTCATAGCCAATCTAAATCGACCCTCCTTCATTTTAAAGCCATTGCTCCTTGTCCTGTTGCAGCAGGCCTTGTTTAAAAGTTTGTCCCCATCTTTCTTACAGGCCTCTTTTCGGAATTGAAAGGCAGTAATAAAGTGTCCCTGGAGTCTCCCCTGAGGTGAACAGTGCCAAATCTCTCAACATTTCCTCACAGGAGAAGTGCTCCATCCCTTTGATCATATTCATGGCTCCCCCCTATAACCAGTCTAGCAAGACCATGCCTTGCTGAGGACTCCAGAGCTGGATGCAGCACACCAGAAGCAGGTGGGATCTCATACAGGGCACTTAACAAAGTTGATGCCCATACATAATTTTGATTATTTTTGTGGGTCTTTGGTTGGCGCTAAGGGTGAAGGGTTCCAATAGCTGGGCATTTATTTGAAGAAATTAAAAATGCGCCTGTCCAGCAAACATCTGTCCTGTGGATGAAAATACATGGACTGATCCTGTTTTTTTTTTTTTTTTTACTGTGTGTTAATCTAGAGGATCTAATGCCCAACATGCCCTGCCTTATTAATTTATTTAATCGAAGACAGCACTGCCCTGTGCAGCTTGATTTCTCATTTGCCAACAGACTTTCTTGGAAAAAGCAGCAGAYAAGGAGCACTGTGGTTCCCATGGGAATGGACATCTGCCTGCTTTGAGGTGGAGATCATGGGCAGTTCCCATTATCAGATGACAGACAGGAATTATTGTTGTCCTCAGGGCTTGGTAGTGCCTTAGGGTAGAATCCATCCCATGGACTGGTCCTATACCCCGGAACAGATGGGCAGAAGAAGATGGATGGGCAGAGGGTGCTCAGACCAACAGSATTTCTGTCTTGGCTATTAAGGTTACCCTTTGATTCCTCAAAGCTGTGTTTGTCTCTGCCTGATTCAAAAGTGGAGTTCCTTATTATTACTTATTGCTGGTAGCAAATGACAATGAAAAAAATCCAAAGTGATTGCACTAGAGATGACTAAAAGGACAAAAATACTTACAGAAAGAGGAAAGATTATCGAAAATTAATGAAACTGAATGAACCAGAATAAGTGGTGCTGGTTTTTATTACCTGTCCTTTCCTGTTGTGTCAGGACTGAGTAAATTACTGTAGAATCTTCCAGTATTTTGCAATAAATTGCCTGGACTCATCCATATTCATCACTTTGTGAGGAAGGGAGGCCACTTCACAGGCTGTAGATATTGCAGCTGGAATACCTTGTAATTTAGGGTTTATTTCCTGGAAACAGAACTCCTCTTTCAGGGATCTCCTGAGTCACTTAGGAAAACTCAGGAACCGGTAAACTCCAAAGCTTTTGATGGTGATGGTGGAAGGTTCAATGACTGCATTTCAACTCTCTCTGTGCATGAGGCAGGAGAGCAGTGAGCAAAGACACTTTTGTTATCCTGTACTTTGCCTTCCATTCAGTTTGTTTCAGGTTTTTCTTTCTTTTTAAGAAGTGTCCTTTCCAATCCCTCTCTGCTCCTTCCCCCAGGCTGTAGCCCTTAAAGCAATTGGATGCAATAGCAGAGCAGCAATACTGGTTTGTTTGTTTACATCTCACTTATGAAAAATATTGGTTTCTGTTGAACCATACCCTTTGTTCTGATACAGCTGCTCTGACCACACTCTTCTTGCAAGCCAACACCATCATTACTCATTGGGCACCTGCAGCCATGATTTTATTCAGAAAACGTGAAGATGTGCTGTGAAAACCAAGTACCACAGCTCTATTTATCAGTGCTGTTTCTAGTAACAGATATGTTCTGAAACAAAAGATGTTTTCTTGTGTATGTAGTAAAAAAAGAGCTTTTCCGTGCACAAGTTACTCAAGTCATGTTTTTGGCTGTTTCTTTCCAAGACACCTATCATTTTTTTTACATGTAGAGAGTCAACAGAACARGAAACTAACATGTAGAGGAGACAAAGAAATCCTTAATTTTTCAGTTAGGCTTTTTTTTTATTTCAAACAATAGTTTAACAAGTGCTTAAACTTCCCCAGCAGTTTAATCTGGACAATAGTTGAGAAGAAAAATATCTTCTATAACTTTACAAAAATAAAAAGATCTTTTTCTTTTTTTTTTAAATCCTGCACTTTAGGCAAACACGCTCCGACTCAAGCAAGACTGACCTTATATACTAAAATACAGACTTCTGTTCATAGAAATGACATTCTACCCCAGGGCAGCAGGCACAATATGTAAATAGTATAGAAACAGAGCAAGAACACTTGTTTTGACTTTTCTGATCCCTTTTGTCCTACTTCTTGAATAGAGCCTGTTAAAACAATTTGCCTATGAATTTCTTTAGGTTGCCATTTCTTCTGTCAGGTGGATYCTTGAGTAGGATATTACTGAGGGAAAAGCTTTCACCTGTCTTGACAATGTTGGGCAGCTACTGAAGATACCAACATTAATGGATTCTTTTTTTTAAAGCTTCTGCATTTCACCAAGGGACAAATCACACAGTTTGTAGGTCTTCCACTGCTAAACCACTTGCACCTTAACTTCTTTAGCAGCCAGGGCTGCCAGCACATGAGGTCAGGTTGGAGAAATAAAATGAATGGAATATGTTGTGTCACATATGTATGCAGTGCTGTGCAGCAGTTAATCTAGAGTGTGATTAAACCAAAAGAGGGGATAAGCTTAGCTCCTTGTTCTGTGCCTGCAAGCAAGGAGAAGCCTTGCAGAATATACGGACTAGCACATAAACTATGCACTCTAAAGACTTATGTATTTGCCCAACTTGATTTGTGTTGGCTAAAAGAAAAATGAAAAAAATTATAGGCACATGGAGGGAAACTGGTGCAGCATATGCTAAGAATCCAGATCATAAARTTATGTTTCTGGTCAACACTACAAATAAACTACAGAAGTCACCAATCAGATTTCATGTAAAGCACTGTGGAGACCTTTTTAAAATAKTTCCTTTTCAAGTGTCTTTAAATGACAGGGGGAAAAAGAGCATTTATTGTACCATTTGTACAGTGAGTCATATTTTCATGTAGTCTAATCATAAGCTTTGGAAAACCTAGACCTTTGCAAATCTGTGATTCAAAACAGCTGAAATATGAATATGCTTTTAGAGGTTATAACTAGACAGATCTTTCTTTTGAAATGGTTGTAACATTTTTGACATTAGGCAAGTTACAGAGGAGCCACAAAGCATTAACAAACTGTAGATGATTGTCCTGATGAATACAGAAATCATGCTGTGGAGCAGTTCCTTCAGTCTTTGCTTCCATCCTGCATCACAAGCATGTGCAATTTCAGCTGGAATTGAGCTGTGTGTGGCACTTGCACAGGCAAGGGACATKGTCTGACATCTTCTAACTGGATATYTTTTCAGAGATGGAACCACCTAACGTGGCAATGGTCAATGGCGGTAAAAGCAGCTTGTCTTGTGTGATCTAAGGCATGCCACACAATATCCACCCTCTTCAATAAAAACTAGTGTGAATTCACTCATGCTGCTATATCTCAAACAGCAGTCAGAAATGAAGCAGGTATTTAATTTAAGGAATTTGACTGTAACAGCTSTGTAACCCAGTTAGAGATATGCTGGTGTCAATCTGATGACTACAAAACTCAGTCTAGAGAAAACCAAACTCCACGTTGGTTCCTAACTTTGTCAGGGGCATCCTGTCTCCTTCTTGACCCTCTAGTTAAAACCGTGCTCCTGATGCCCCTCACCAGCAACTGGCTCTTCAAGTAGGTTTSGTTACACAGAGCAGGAAACCATCAAGAAAGGCTGATCAGAAYAGCTGTTGTTGTTCATAGAGCTCAATTCACCACGGTGTGCTGGTTTTCAGTTCCTTCCAAYAGGCTGAAGGAGGATGTGACACTAGATGGATGGATAAACACTTTCTCTGGTGACTACTGAGCTCCATTCCTGACTCTGACTTAGTTTTCTTTGACTTTTCATTTGTCTGAGGGAAAAATATGAAAGATTTGGTYTGACTCAGCAGTCAGTCTACATACCGCTCCTTCCCTCTGTCTTYCTGCTGTCTCAAAACTAGGTGAACTGATTCTGTTCCAACTCTGAGGAAACTCACATCCATGGTTTCAGAGAATGCTTTTTCTACAGTAGACAGTATGAAGACTCACTAAGTAAAGTTGAAAGACCTCCATTCAAAGCTTTTCCTAGGATACTGAAAATAACACATTAAAGGCTCTTTTTCTGACATAGTACCAGACTGGGCAGCTAGCAGCTGCTGATACTGTGACGAAATGCTACGACCTTACTCCTTGTGTTCCTTACAAATATTTCTGCTCCTCCTGTGAGCAAAAGCATGTGTATATCAGTACAAACCACAGCCCAAATGCTGCAAGGTTAAGCTATGCCCTCAGTTCACTCCCCATTAAAGGCAGGGAGCTGGGCTCATCTATGAACTTCTAACTCCTTGCTGGCCTTAAACATCTCCCCTACRGCTTCCAGAGTCTGCTCTGATTTGCATCAGTGCACAAAAGGATGTATTCACCACTGAGAGAAACCTCAGAGTTTCCAGGGCAGGCTTTTGTTGACAAATGMACTCTGAGGGCTGTGTCTATCCACCTTCCCAGCAGTGTCTCCCCAAACCAATGCTGATTTAAGCTCTATGAAACCATGTGTTGGACAGTTCAGCAAGGAGAAAAGGGAGGACGTGGTTGCATTTGGGCATCTCTTGCTCTTTGCTCTGTATGACTGGGCCRGTGTCCCTCCATCTGTGGGTCTGTTTCCAGCTGCTTTCTTGCTCTACCAGGGACCACGGTGTGCTTGCTGCTTTAACCCTTTCCCCTGTTCTTACATGAGGTCACATGACAAAAAAGATGCTGCTAAATAGGGCTGCAGAACACATCAGATCCCACTTGTTTTACTCTGCCCGTTCAGCACAAGTACTGCACGTGGAGTATGTAAGGCCTCAGGAGTATGAAAAGAGAGGTTGTTCCTGCAGCCTCATATTGGCAGCTTACCTGCACTCTGTGCATCCCACAGGAAAACTGCTGCTGGCTGGCTCTGAGTGGGCTTGGTTTTAACTACTTGCTAGATACAAAGGGAGGCCTCAAAGCAAATACATAGCTAAGTTAATTGAATGAGAAAATATTAAACCACTGGTTATTTTTACAATTAGTGATCGTAAAAATAGCTTAAATTACTTGGAGTATTTTTTTTAATTAGGGGTATCAACCATTTAGCACTTTTTGAACAGAGGGCTGTTGATTTGCTGATTCTTTCTGTATTATGAGCTGTGAGAYAATGGCAAGATAAATCTCTGCAGGTTTCCTCCTTATATACATATCTACATCAGAGCTGTGAAGGCACAGGGGGAAGCTGCTATCACAGTACTGGCACAACACTGAGCCCTYCCCCAGAGATAAATTCTGATGAGTAACTGGGCATTGGGGATAAGAGTACCACAACAGTTAAGATGGCAGACATGACTGAAGCAGGATCATAAAGTTCATCCCAGCAGTTAAACACAACCCTCCCTCCCCCCAGAAGTCTGCAGTCCTAAAGTGCAATTACTTTTGTGCAGTCGTGTCAGGCCAGGGATCAGACTGGATGAAGTTCAAAGCACAAACATCAAACGAGTGCCGTTCGGGATTCGAGGAGGAAGAGGGAAGTAAGGAAAAGAACAACAGTTCTCTGGCATTCAAGTGCATCACGAAAATAAATGTCCCTTTCTCTCTGAAGAAAAACAACCCCCAGTCTGGTGGAATCCTGGCTTTGTAGTCATGAAAAATAAGTTTTCCTCGCTTCTAGCTGAGAATGTCCCAATATGACACAGTACAAATAAACAACAAAGCAAGGGCTGAGGCGCTGGGATATTTTTCCGGAGCCCTGCTGCTATACAGCCTGATTTTATTCTCCTCTGGTGACTCTTCAGACCTGGGTACTGATGAGGCACACTGAATTAAAGGCATCTGGTAGGAAGTGGCTCTTTTCTCGGGTCGGTCGGGGCTGGAGCCGTCGCTCGGTCTCTGGCCATTGTACAGCAGGTACCTGCCCAGGGCATCCTGCTCCATCTTGAAGATTTCGTACTCGGTGTGAGGTAGGCGGATGCCGAGCGCGATGCAGCCGTTGGTGTGYGTGACATCCTGCTGAACCCCAACCTGCCAGGATCCCTGGGCACCACACTCATTCCCGTTGAAGACATTGAGCAGCGAGGCTGTGGATATATCCATGGGAGTGACCTTCATGTGATTCACTGTGGGAGAGGAAGAGAAAAGCTATTGGCAGAGGAACAAAAACAAAAGCAGAGCCAACATGCATATTGGAGCATACCTGTTAAATCAAAACTGTCTCACTTTGTTCCTTCTTAAAATAATTTTTCGTATTACAGGTGTGTCCAACAAATCTATGAGCATCATTTKATGTCTTAAACTTAGTGCAAAAATTGCTTTTTGCACAGAACAACCCCCTCTCCAAATCAGTTGAAGAAAACCTGATGGCCACATATCTCAGCTAGAGATTAAGCAGAGCTTTTCATAAATTCCGGACACTCCTTTATAGATAAAGCTTGGTTGGTTACACAAGGAGATAGGGAAGAGGAAACAATAAAACTTTACTCATGTTTTATTACCAGCTGTATTAATCCATAAGTGGGGCATTTCTCACATATTTTTCATCATTTCTTAACGTTTGCTACCCTGTAAACCTAATAAAAGAACTAGTTCCAATTGGGAAATACGGAAAACACCACAGTTGCACTATCATCTATATTGCCTGTCTTTTTTTGCATTAATTATAAAATATAGCTGACTTACAGAGAGATGTTTTTTCTCATCTCTAAACATTGGCTGTAGCTTGCAGTATCAAATATAGAACTGCTGCAGCTTCTTCTTTTCTAACCTGTATTTCAAAGGAGTTTAAGGCACATAAAGTTTCATTTTCCAGCCAAGTTCAAAAGTTGGGAAAAGCCAAAATGAATGAACCTGGAGAAGCTGAATAGAGATTCTTCCTGCTGTGTGTTAGACACTGTKTATCAAGAAAAGGGGATCTGAATGTATTGGTGCTGACCAAAACAGACTTAAGTAACCAGCCCTCWTGCCTCCCAACATACAAAAACCCCAAATTCTCTTGCAGATCATTTTATAATGCTGGGAGTTTTTCTGAACTTTTATAAACAACCATTTGACTCAACTGCTCTACAGTTCACATTATTGACTCTAGCTGGTGTGAAAGGTAATTTACAGAAATTGAACCTGAAAGTTTTACCTAAACCAAATTAGTGACCTTGATCTRTCAGGTAAATTGGCATAGCATAAACCAGAAATGCAGTCAAAGACTGGATTTCACTCCAGGAACTGAGCTGGGACATGCTGCATATGCAGCTCTAAAGAGACAAAGTTCTGACAGACAAGGGTATCTCCCACCTCCTATAAAAATCTCAAATTAGAAAATTATTTCTTCTAGTTAGATGTTTTTCTAAATTACAGCCAGGCAAGAAGCTTTGCACTTCTCACATGGTAACAGAAATAAGGAGGAGAAGAGCCTACAGAGGGCTTGAGGCTACYAGAGACTCCGCTGGGGCTGGTGCCCTGGTGGGATATCATGTTCTGGAGATGTTTGCTTGTGTGAGCAGTTCAAGCCTCTGGGCTCTTTTTAAGCCGGGTGCCATGGGGCTGTTTGCACAGGAAGGCTTCTCAACCACAGGGACCTGGGTGGCGTCACCACTGAGAGCTGCTTTCCAAAGTACCCGATGCGTTTGGGTGGGATACATTTTGTCTTTGCTCTGATGGCTTTAATCAGAGCTGTCTTTAGGGACACCCTTATTTGCTGGAGGGCCCCTTGGGAGCACATGAAAAGATGCATGCTGCTGCATCTGTCTTCCACAGAAAATTATTTATAYTGCTTCAGATCTGAAACGCCTTCTGAAGATGCTTTTTTCTCTCTAATGAAGGAGCCCTAGGACACAGATCTAAACCCTTTTCTTAGATGCTTGAAGTTTGGCCACTGGACTCCAAAATCATTTAGTGATGTGAAATCTAATTTTCTTGTGTGTACTTAAAAGATCTCTGCCTCAAATGAGTATTGCTTCAGTGGTATGAAATGCCATGCAGCTGTATAGTTTGGCTGGGCATTCACATAATGCCTCTGCAAACTTCCCAAGAAATGCTGAACTCCTGAAAATCACAGAATGAAATCATCAGCAACCAAGTCGTTATGAGCAAACTCTGCTCTGGTCCATAAATACCTCCTCCCACAGTGTATCAAGCCACTCTACCTTTGAACACAAACTCCGTGCCACCCATGACTTTGGAAGAGTGGACTCCCCGGCTGTAGCGTCCCTTGGCATAGATGGTGAAGGTGGGGTGTTTGCAGATGGGGTCGGAGTAGTGGTAGTAGTGCCCCTCCCAGGTGTTGTTGTTGTCGTGGAAGATGAAGTGCCGAGTCAGGAAGAGCACCTCCGGSCGCACCTCGCAGCGCTGGCTCACCCACTCTCCGTGCAGCCCGATGGTCAGGTCAGCCTTGGGGGGCAGGATGGGYGGGTGGTGCTCGTCCGAGCGGTAGATGATTCTGCACGCGATACACGTGCGGTCGTGGTTCTGAAACAGAGCAGAGASAAACTCTCGGTTAACCAAGGTGAAGGTGGTTATTCAGGCATTACCTGGGGTACACGGCAATGCATCAGGCCAGCCACTTCATGCTGAAGTGACACCAGCTCCACAATTTAAGTCAGCCATTGTCATTTCTTATCTTGTTAGTGGTACTATTTGATTTTGTATGTGTATAACTGCACAGCAGGAGAGCACCTAAGAGAYTAATTCCCTTGTCTGCATTTATCTGAAATAAACATTTTAGTTCAGGATCTAGAGATGGCTGACTTTATCCTTCAAATTATACAAGAAGCTGGCAGATGGTAATTTACTATGATAGGGATTTTGMAACACTTATATCAGAAATCAATACATTTTCTGAGCTCTTATTTATCTGTCTTTCTTTTAGTTGTTACCTTTAAGTATTGTAGATAAACATGAGTGTCATAAGGACTTTTTTTCTTTTTGGATGGCAGCTTGGGAGAACAGTAACCAGTGCTTTATAAACTCTTTCAGCTTTTCTGAGCCCTAATGCAAGTTTATAAAGTGTGTGTTATGGCCGGTTGCTGCTGGACATGGTGAAAGCTTTACGGCCCTCTCCAAGCAGGTCTGTGGTGCCTGCTGAGCTCCAGAGTGGCCACCACTGTGGGCCACACTTCAGCCTCAAGTWGCCAAGCACCAACTGTGAGCACCAGGGGTGTCTTAGGAGGGCTTAGGTGTGCAGGCTCCAAGCCTGTGGCAGGAATGGAGGGAGTATCAGACTGAGGCTCCCACCTCCTGAGCAACRCCTTTTATAGTTACTTTGCCCATAGCCCATTATTTTACACCCCAGGGACATAGAATATACATCCCAACRGCCTTTTCATTGATTTCACTATTGCTGAAAAGACTTTGGATGACTATATGGTCTGGGATGGTGCAAATATAAACCCTGATTAATATGAGTAAAAGAAATAAATTGTGGGTGTTGTATATTGATTCTCTGAAGCTATGTACAGTTGTTTTATTGGAGAAACTCAGGGTACTAATGAAGACTGTGAGAATGTCACCCCTAAAGTGAGCTAGGAGCTGGAAGCAGTGAGTGGAAAAATGCTGAATTCATAGCAGCTCGTACGGGCTTCAAAGCAAGAGCAGTGAATCTGAGCATTTTTGTTACGGAGGGCACTCAGAGRGACCTCAGAAAAGAGGTGTGTGTTGAGGTTTAGCTTTTGATTTGATGCACCTTAGGAAAATACTTCACAGCTTGAACATGGTGGATGTGAGTAATGCCTCAGTGTATTCCCCTCTCTCCTGGAAGGATCGAGGAGCATCCTTGAGAGATGAAGRTGCAAGGTATCTGTGCTGGTTGATCTGAACCAGTGCTGTTCAACAGCTCTGCGGAGGAAGGAGAGGCTTTTTGTGACCTCCTGAAGGTCCTTCCACCCCAAAACACATGGTCTTCTAGGGACCAYATGTCAGCATGCTCTTTAAGTGGATGTAGTGTTTTTGCTTAGTGGAGACTGTTACTTTTAGGATACATTTTTTTTCAGGTAAATTCTGCAAGCAGGTGCAAGGTCCATTAGTCACTTAGTGAAATACAAAGAACATGTAGTTGAGTAATTTAACTGCAACTGGTGAAATTAGCRCAGATTTATACACAAAAAGTATCTTTCAGTTGTAATAGAAATAATGCTTTTTCTTCYTGGAGATCAATATCCAAAAGATGCCTCCACTGCCTTGCACGGACACACACAAGGATCGAGGCCAAGGAGTTGCTCTGTGGAAGATGCCAGTGGCTTTTAACCACATACTTCTGCCATTAGTTGCACTGTTTCCTGACACATTAAGGGCATTTRTGACAGTACCTTTATGGCTGTGATTGCCCCACTCACATGAAGTGAAGCCACAAAGCAAGAAAATGACAGTGCTATACAACTAAACATAGCTTATATARGCTATTGAATTTGTCAATACTAGGAGAGTTTCTGCTACAGTTCCTTCTCTATTAAAGTGAATTTGAAAGCTTCTATCATCTCCCAGAGGAGACCCTGGCAGAGCAGTATATTGATTTGGTTTATATTCACATTTTCCTCCCAGGAGTCCATCCTCCAAAAACAGAGCCAAGGCAATTTAACCTGGGAACCCGTGATTTCTGTTGCCCTTGTTCAAAATCTGAAAAAAAAAAAAAAAACGAACACCAACTCAGCCTGTTGTCTTTTTTGGTCACCACTGGCTGCCATTACACTGTGAGCAGAGGTGACTCCTTTGGCAAACGCTGGGAAGGTCCTTGTTAACTGTTACTTGTCTGTAGTTCACCTGGCTCTTTGACCACTGTGGTCCTGAGCTGCTGTAACTCTGTGCAGCCCTTCTAATTCTGAAATCTTTGCACCAGCTATGAAGGTCTGGACAGCTGGAATGCTACAAAATGTCCATCCTGATGGCCTTCTAAACACTGATGGGGTGTCCAAATGACGGGGCTGAAGTAATGAGGAACTTCCTGTATTAAACCAGGAGTGGGGCAGGGAGAGGTTGGGGTGGTGAGGGAGGAAGCAGAAATATYCCTTTGCCAGCAGCAGACACTGGCTGGCTCAGGCCCCTCACATGGCTGGACTTGGAGTGCATTGCTTCCCTGAGCACTTGAATCTAAGCCCACATAAACCTTTTTTGCTGTGATACTATCTCTCACAATGTTATAAACTTAGTGGAAGAAYATGCCATGTATAAACTCCCTCAGTATGATTTTTGCCCAACTAATGGGCAAGGGAAAGAGCTAGTTCTGTTATGAGGCAATTTGACTTAATTATGGAGTAATTTATGTTTAACAATTGACTGTATATTTCGCTCTTGCTTTTTTAGGTCAGCTGCTCTTGGCTCTTAATTACACTATCTGAGGCTTTGCAAATCACTCCCTTTCCACATGTTTCAGGAAAATATTATTTTCTAAAAACAGGCATTCRAAGAAAATAGGGAACAGAGACAGAGGACATTTGAGTCCAAACATGATTAAGAACTCTAATAAAAAGCTCATTTGGGCATGAAATAAACTAAAAAGCAATAAAATGAGCAGAGGACAGGATGAACATCTGTTCTACGTTTTGATTATCTTAGGTGTGCAATGCAGTATTTTTAATAGTGGGGCCTTGCTAAAAGGACTGACCCCTGAAATGGATGGAAGATCCCTTCCCATGATGGGTGGCTCCATGCAGCTCTGCAATGCCAAAGCCACAGTGCCATCATTCCTTACCCTACCAGGTGTCACTTTAAGCCAATTTCTGAACTAATCCGTGAAGCTGTGTATGCCAAAACAAGCCTGAATCTCTGGCTGAAAACTCAGTTCTTGTAGTTGGAGAGAAAGCTTATGATCTGAAAATTTCCACGATCATTTTTTCTCATTCCTCTCTCCTGCTGTCTCAGCTGTAGCGGTAAAAGGGCCGGAGAGCTCTGGAAGCCAAGCAAGAAGGATTCTAACTAAAAAAGAAAAACAAAGATGAGGTTCCTTCATCTTTTTCCCAGTTGCTGTGGATAGTCAGAAAAACAAATCCTCCCAGTATAGTTCAATTTTCTCTTCAGCTCTGTGGAATTCTGTGGCTGCCGAGGACTAATTGCCTGACATTGACTATGCCACACAGCATGTGACTGTGTGCATTACAGATCTAACAGGTAGCTTGGGATCTTGTAGGGGCCAACAGGCACAAAAGCTGGGTAGGAAACCCTTGTCAAGGGAACGCACCTATTGCTGTGAGTGGAAGTTCTGAAGAAGAGGGGAGAGAAAAGCTACTCTCAGCCATGATCTCACACAACTCTTAAATATCACGCATTACAAGCAGTACTAGGTGGGATTTGAATGAGTCATGCCTGCTCAGGATGCTTTAAACCTCACCACCAGAGAAAACACAGTACCAGGTGTTAGTGTTAGTACCTAGTGCTCCCAGAATGAGTATAAATGGAAATTTTTAGGAGAACATCAATTGAAAGAAATGCTTCCAGCTCAGCAAAAAAAAGTTGGATGSCTTTGCTTCACATTGCCAGGGAGCCAAGTCCACAGGAAGGACACAATTAYGAATTGCTCAGGATAGTATCAGGCTCGCTCCTCCACCACTGCAGATAACTGCAGACCAAGACAACACTTTAAAAAACGACCACAGATTTTCTCCAGTACAAAAGTGATAATTTGCAGGCTTTGCATGACCTCATATGAAGCTGAGTTGACTAATGTGCATTAGGCTGGCTCTGGGGAGYTGACAAGCACGGCTGACACAGTCATAACTCAGCTTGCCAAATGGAATGAAGAATTACAAAGATTTAAAACTTTAATTAAAAATCTTGAAGTAAGTAAAATGCTGGAGAGAGTGGTAACTCCTTTGCAGTTGTCAGATGAGTATTTCTTTTGGTGGGGAACAGAGGTGCTGCAAGCAGGAAGGAGGGTGGAGATATGCTCAGATTTATCTGCAAATGTGTACCATATATTCTAAGATATTGAGGAATGGTTTTTATTAACTGCTCTCATGAAGAGGAAGATAGTGAAGGAATCTCAAGGCACTACCATTACACAACTGTCTGATCTATGATGTTGATTCTGTTGCACAATCCTGCATGAAACTGAAATAAATAAAACCAACATGAAATGTGAAAGTCTTCTGGTTGTTCTTTTCTGGTATAAATGACTTTAGCCTGGGCAAAAGACAAGAACAAAGAAAAAACCAGATGAATTCACAGATGACTCTGCTTGCATGTCATCTATCCCATTAAAAKGATACTAAATTATGGTGACATGAATATTTTGTGAAGTATTAACAAAAAATAATTCCTGGAAAACCCAAAGGGACAGCTTGAAGGTCYATTTTCAAGAACAAAGTATTCCCAAATAAAGCTGCCTTATGTATCTATTCTGTCTTTAAAAAGCATCCTATACAGACAGCCCTCTAAACCATGCAAGATTAGGGTCAGTGAGTCTTGCCTGCCCTTTYACAAAAAATGAAGGAACTGTGCTTAGATGCCAACTACAAGGAAGTGTCAGTAGTTTAGATACATATGCTGAGCTGACCTGAAGGCCCGTGGTTTATTTTGCTAGCTAAATAGTGAATTTTGGTCCCCAGTGATGCATTTGAATTGGCACAGGCTTTCACTGCAGCTGCAGTGCCAATAGTGCTAAGTGAAGACGTGGCACCTTCAAAAGGTGCAGGGCCACAGCTGACAGTGCTGCCGAGCATGGCAAAGCTGTTGGCTTTTTTTCATCTCTGCAGGGCACCACACACGCTGTTACTGTTCATAAAACTGGAATTAATGCATTTGAACATTCTTCTGAGTATTCCTACTTTGCCTCCCCTCACAATTTCCCTACCCAAGAGCCTTTTTCAAGTAATAATGGACAAAAGRCACCCTTCAAGTGTTGGCTTAATCTAGAAGTCTAGTGGCACTAGTCAGGCAAACAAAGGAGTTTTGTCTGCCAAAATTACACTCTTAGGTTGAGATAATGTTTTGCACATTTCTCTGAGGCACTTCACATGTTTAACATCTATTTATTAACTTATGATTGCATTTCCCTGGGAGCTTCAYAAGTACATAGCATTCCCCTAGAGATGAAGTCACTGTGTTTCAAAGAGATGAAGAATCAAATTTTTGAAAAGCACAGAAAACTTTGCACACTTTTTTCTTTCTCAGCTAAAGGAAAGCCCAAGCACCAGTCTTCATATGTTGAATCTGTATTAGCTGCAAATGCCAGGTGCTGTTGGAAGTCTGGCCCCAGAAGTGAATAAAGTTGTAATAGAGAATTGTTTCATTAGAGTCACTTTTTGAATGGAAAACATCTTACTGAAAGAGTTTGTCCAGCAAATGTCTGAGCATGACAGAGTGAAGGTTATCCTAGCACTTTTCAGGCTTCTTGTGATGTTCCAGACCATGTCTGCCTTACTCCTAAGTAATGATCTAACTAGAATGACCGGTCACCACAGTCCTGCTCTGATCTTTCCCGTTACTCTGTCTCATGATAAAATAGCACAAGGAGTTCTTTGTGTACAAAGCAACATTGCTGAGGCAATTACATATGAAATAAGTCTCCCAGTACTGCTCTTGTACACATTTTCTGTAGTTTGGAACAGACATTTCTGAACACATCTTCCRTCTTGCACAGAGAACAAATACAGCATTCAAGCCTTTCTTCATGCTACAAGTCCCTGTATACGTTTGTGATATTATGACCAATCAAGCAGCCTCCTTGSTGTTGTCCTAATTGGGAACATTTTGTGCAACATATGTGATGAAGGACAGGCACTTCTCCCATCCTGCTCTTCCTACCTGTGTGCTCTCTTGCACTGGCTAAAGAAGCTTCATGTACGATAGCTTCAATCWCTTGATAAACTTGAAATGTCAAAAGACATCAAAGATGTTCATCTCCATTTATCAGCCACTCCTAACTGGTATCTCTATCCAGGTTAGAAAACAGCCAAAATAAATCTATATAGTGACTTATTAATCATCTGCACTCAAGAACTTCCATGTATTTTACAGGAGGAATTTGTTTAAKTTATGCTCTTATCTAAGAGAATTCGTAAAACCTTAAGAGATGACATATTATATGTTTTGAAAAGCTCCCTGATTTTATATGAACACTTGAGATACGGTAATCTGTGAATTTATTCAGATTTGTAGCTCAGCATAAAGCTGTCTGGTTTTTGGACAGCCCTTTTGATTTACCATCCTGTGGTGAAATTGCTGCAGGAATTTGGATAAAGTCCAATTCTATTTGTTTAAAGTCCTGATCATGTGGCTTTGGCATTCCTAACATATCCAGCAATCATTTGCTTTTAATTACCATTCATTTCAACCACATAAGTAATGAATGTGGCTACCACATCCAACTTACAGGCTGTGTAAACTCTTGGGCTGGGTGGAACTTTCTTCTATATAGAGGCTTAACTATAAATTTAACTCAAAATGTGAATCCTCTTAGCTTATTTTAGGCAGGCCTTTATGAGTCTAAAATAWAAATAAATAAAAAGGAAATGAAAAAAGCCTTAAATGAAAGATTCCACACAATACACCTGATTCACTTCAGAAGCAATTTCCTGGCCTCCCCAASCTCTTGGTATGACTGTAGAAACCTTAGAAAAACAAGTTGATTTAATGTTTCTATTTATTCATGGTGTCCAGTTTCCAGAGGAGTCTGTGACTTGTAGTTTTAAACTCAATTTAGCATTTAAACTCATTTTCAGCTGGGTCCCAGTGGAGCAACAATTAGAAAAGGAAAAGAGTTCAAAAAGGAAGGGTTATAACCTTTCAACGGTATGTTTGCCTGGACTTAAAAAAAAAAAGTAAAAAAGCACTTCTGTTACTATTCTTCCTACACTTGGCGAACAGTAGGTCAGAGAGCCTGTTGAGAACCTGTTGGTATAGAGATGGCCATGGTTAGGTACAAACCAACAAACCARCATCCTGGAATCTTTCATGGCAGCTGAGGCCAAGGTTTATTTTTTAGGGGTATTGCTATTTATATCATGCTGAAAGCCTAGTATCAGCAGGCCAGCTTCTCTGGAGACAGGAGAAATCTCAAGTCAAATCTGAGCAAGATGAACCTATTAGAAAACATAAAATCCAGCTGCACTCTTGTACACTCAAAACTTGTGTTAAAACTACACCTCTTTTGCTGCTGAAGGCTCCAGCTGAGACTGGTGTCCCAGCAATCCAGACAATGTATATGTCTGCATCTTTGTGAATGCAAATGAGAATTTCAGAGCCCTCTCATTGTTTATTTGCCTAAACTGTCTCAAAACCCACATCTCTCTTATGCAAGATTTGATCCCTTAAATTTAAGCATTTTATTTTAGAGGCACTATATTTTAGAGGGAAAAAAGCATGCTACAGTAGCAGAACGAAGGCACAAAAATCATTACCTGTGTGTTCTAAAATTACAGTAGGCCTGGACAACAATCTTAATTTTATAAAGCTGGCTGAGGGTACATCTGACTGCTCTGACAGTAATGGAATTACTACAGGGTGAAAATGTAGGCGTTTACTATGTTATATATTAGCCCAGAATAAGACACCTAGATTAGACCAGAAAAGATACCCAGCTATAGTGATTTAAATCTGATTTAAATCCTACTTTGTCTCTCTTTCAAGTAGTTGGAAAAAGATCTACAATATTTTCTAGAACAGATACAAGATACCTGGTGTCTGATAATTTCTATCTACAGATACTTGCAAGGAAAAGATCTAGCAAAGAACCCTCACTCTCAAATACGTAAAGTGAAAGTTGATGTGGTTGTTTGAACCAATTAAAGAGCAAAATTTTGAAGAGCATTGTGCTGTGGTACATCTGCTGCTCCTGAAACTATTTTGGGAAGGTAAGTTTAAAAAGAAAACTCAAATTTGTCCTTGGTCACTTGAAGACAGCATAAGAATGACAGAACTTACAGCAGTTTTCATACAGAAAAACAGCTGACTGTGGATTAAAATGATCCCTAGGCCAGGTTATAAYGCACTTAAAGGCAGATCATAAAAAGACCTGAACTACTAAATTTTTTGTTCACAGGAGACAGATGAGACAGGGCAGATGGTTTTCACTGGAAGGGAAAGCCAAGGCTTTTTCATAAAAACTCTCCCTTTTCCTGTTGTAATTCCTGCTATCACTGATAAGCTGTAGCTGATTTTTGAACCATTTGTGACGAGATAATTAAAGATGGTGGTGACCCATTAGCTGGAAGTGATGCTGTGGCAGCGCCCAGCTGGAGCACACTGAGGGCAGCAGCACCTGGCAATGTGGTTCCAATTGCTGCCTGCCTTTGAAATGTCACCAGGAAAGATCTATAGACAGCCTTCCTGCTACACACCATCACCGTCTGCTCTTCCTGTTGAGTTTTATTTAGCTTGCCAGGGCTTGATCAGTTCCTGATGAAGCTGAGGGCACTTTGAGGCCCCTTTGAAAACTGAATTATCAAACAGAACTAGAGCCCCATTCAAAATTCACCTGGTTTTCATTTCATTAATGTGTGCGCCTATGTCTAGATCCATGATCTGCACAGTCCATCAATTTTTTCCCTTTATGATGCCCCTTCCATGTGTTTACCTTCCAATTTCCTCATCTCGTCCTCAGGTTATGGATCACCCAAATTCCATATGCTGATATTCATTTTTGATTTCCTCTCTCCCTGGCCCCCTGCAGCTACAGAAACATTTACTGATGCCTGTTCCTCTTCTGCTACCTCAGTTCTTTACGAAACCTTCTTCTCAGCTGCCAGMCTATAGCCATGGTCCCAGCCAAACACTCCCACTTCTGCTCACAAGTCTCTGATTCCATCCTCCCAGGGGCCCTTACTGCCTTTAGTTCACCAGATTACTTTTTTTGCATATTTGATACAGTGGCATTAACCACACCAAAGTTACTGTTCTCACCAAGTAATTTCTGTGAACTTCTGTTACTTTACTCAATAATCTCTAAGGCAACAGCTGACCCCCTGCATCAGAAGCACATCTGTATTTTAGGTCACACCAGTGCACTTAGAAGAACTGAGAGATTTGGTCTTGCTACCAGTACCTTAAAAAAGGTATRTACMMACACACACACACACATGCACGTACCTTGGCATTTTGAAGGGGAGGTTGGTAGCTGGAGGGCCGATAGTATCTCCTCTGAGTAGCATCRGTGTGAATGTCTCCGAGGAACAGCTCCTCCACAAGGTGGTCTAAATTGTGGTGCAGATACTGCTTCTCCACGCGGATCAGCTGGAGCTCGTGCATGGCAAAATTCAGAGCTTTGGTGCATTCACAGCCATTCTCTTCTCTCAGCAAATCGTAGCTCACATCCTGCTCCCAGGGACTATCTTCTGGGATAAATCCAGGACACGTCTGGTTCACCAACTCRCTTAACTTTTTGGCTACTGCTTCGTTGTGGCATATGATCTGTATGCTGCGGAGCTGATAGTCGGCCTCGGTGCCCCCCCGGATGATCCAGGACGCCTGTCGGAGCCGTATCTTGCCACGTATGACCAAGGTGTAGATGGGATTTGTGCAGCGATTGCCACCGTAATAGAACTGATAAGCCTTGAAGGTATTGTTGTGGTAGAACCTGTAAGATCTTGTGATGAACTCTGGGCCTGCTCTAACTTCGCAGCTGYGGGAAGAAAGAAAGAAAGTGTGGAAACAAAATTTTAGCATGTACACTGCAGGAAACAAGACCCACACAGGTCCTCAGAGACACCTGGGTGCTAATACTTCTCTGGCATGAATGGGAGTAAATAGGAGCTAGGCATCTGCAGCCTGCTGATTATCCAACAATTCCCTCTGCTGCATGGTGATCATAKCCAAAGGCTTTATCTTGTAGGCTTAAATACTTTGAATCATGTTTTGCTTTTGCCTTTTGTCTAGGGACCACCATGTGACTCAATTCTTCGTTGAAAAACGTAGCAGCTTATTAAACATCTATTGCTCTCTTTTGCAYGGTAGATTTAGCAGAATGACTGATAACATCAGAAAGTGAAATGCCATACATCCCAAATGTCCAGGGAACAGCACAAAGAACTGGCTTATAAGCTGCTCTAGAAGCTTCTCAGTGTAACTCCATGAACTCTGGTCTGCAGAGGATATGCAGGGTCATGTCCTCAGCTTTTCCACTCAAACATTCAAGAGGAGTGGCAGTTAATGCAAACTTCTGACCACTAATGCAAAACTTCTACTTGGCTTGAATTTGGACCATGCAATATTCAGATTTTGTGGGGTTTTTCCTCTTTTTTTCCCCTGAAAGTGTAAATGGCAGTTAAATTTCTACACTCCCTCTAGAAGTGCAAATTTCTACACTTCCAGGTGGTTCAAACTTGTTCCCCTTGTCACCTCTACACTGCTTAATATAAAGAGAATTGTAAAACTGGTAAGGTTGGAAAAGACCCCTAAGACCAYRGAGMCCAGCCWTTAACCCAGCACCACAATGCTCACCACTAAAATACATCCTAAGTGCCACATCCACATGCCTTTTGAACACTTCCAGAGATGTTAACTCCATCACTTCCCTGGCCAGTCTATTCCAATGCCTGACCACCCTTACAGTGAAAAAAAAAATCTACTAATATCTAATCTAAACCTCCCATASTGTAACTTGAGACCATTTCCTCTCATCCTGAAATACACTCCTTTCTGTTAAGAAAAAACAACAACCAATCTCCCCTACTAAAAGTCGCTTCCAATGAGCATGTGAACATTGCCTGCTGTGACACAGAAAGCAAAACAGCTCTCTGAAACACAAGTCATCAGGTATAAAGAGTAATAGAACGAAGAGTGAAACACAGCTTCTTAATTTCTTTTGCTAATAAAACCTGTGCTAGACACGTGCTCTGAGAACAAGGACCCATTCAATGGATCTAATGCATGGAGACAAATATAGTACAATATTATGTTTGAATGARCATCCATTTTGGCAGCTTGGTAGACTCCTTCCTATTGAGAGAGATTTAAAGATATTTCACAGCATGCTGTTCAAAATCCAGACAATAAATTGATTCATCAAGACAGCTTTATGGCATGCTATTTTAACATATGCAACACTGCTCCGTCTCCTTTTAAGCATAAACATATACAGAGCATCTGGAATTTAGAGCATCACCATATTAAAGAGAGTAATTCCCCTGCTGGGAATATTCATCCTTCCCTCTCTGCTTCTTTACCTTCTTTTCCTTCCCATCCCAAGAATCTTGTTTCATCTTTCCTTACCCAGTAGAGACCCAGTGGCCCTCAATATTGGGGGGCATCTGGACAGTGATCCGGGCTCCATTGTGAAGGTGTTTCAGCATATGATGGCACTGTGACTCCTTGAAAGCYCTCCAGGCACTCTTCTCCAAGGATCGAGGGTGGGACCTGCTGTCTGGGTGAAGAAGAGCAGAACCTTCTCCCAGCCCTGTGACAGAAAGGGTAAATTATATCATGAGACCCTGCTGAGTAGAGCTTCAATGTGATAAAGGATATTGTGACTGTCATGTGTTGAATGACACTTGTTCATATTGTTATGTGTCTGGGCAAATACCGTTTACATTTATTTTCTCACCTGAAAGGAAAAATAATTATGGGAAGCACTTCCTTTCTGTCACACCACTAAAAACCCACTACATAAATATACTTCATGAAACACACTGGGGAAAAGTGCTTGAACTGAAGTGTTGAGTTTCCACACCCAGGAGATGTGGCTCTGACACAGAATTTTATAGACAYCTCTGTAATCTCTGGTCAGGAGAATCAAAAACCTTTCAAACTTTCAGAAAGTCACACCCAGATCCGGACACAAACTTTGTGGTTTCAGCCCACCTCTAATTTGAATGCTTCTATAATAAACTTGCAAATAAAGACTACTCTTTTAAGTCAAGGGAAAACAGATATTAAAAGCAAAGCCTCTGCACACAGGAAGCCTCTGTGATGATTGAGGTGGTCAATTAAAGGCAGATTCTTCTATTTTTATTTTAAAGGGGAAAAGGAATTTCAAAACCCAACTTTATCTCCAGCACACAGTAATTTTGGTTTCTAGTAATGTATACATACAAAATCCACCAGCAGCTCTCTACACAATATTAAYTGAACAAAATGAATACATAGCTTCAAAAGCAATGTGCCTTTTTACTCTTTCGAGCACAGCCTGCTCTTAGCTATGTTGGAAAACATGGATCAAAAGAAAACCCCACATCTAGGGGTTAAAAGGTGACAAACATGAACCTTACATAACGTGTTGGGAACTGTGTTACATTGCCAGAAGGATTTTGAGCACCAGAGGGCTAGAAAGTGGATATGGGGTGAGGTGAAGAGGCTGTTTGAGTGCCTGGGAAGTCRGGGCAGCCATGTCAGGAAAGGGATGTCTCACTCCCAGGGACAGGGTCTGATGACCATCCCCATGTTTTCTGGTGCTTTCTCAGCTGACCTGGATAAGAAACTTGGCTTTTGGGGACCACCAGTGAGAGCCACCCAGCCCAGGATCCTATGCTTTATGCCCCAGATCTCATCTAACACTCGGGCACATGCTTCGGCAGTGTGCAGCATAGCTACAGCAATTACAAAAAAAAATAAATTACAAAAGTAGGTAGACACTGTCTTAAGTACTTCCCATTTCCTACTGCAAACAAAAAAAAAAGAAAAGAAAAAAAAGAACAAAGCAAAAAAAAGAAAGTCATGCCAGTGATTCATTATGTTGGCTAAGTCTTAGATCTTCTGGAAGAAACTTGGGTAACACCTGGGGAAATGGCATTGCCAAAATTATAAMTACATGTCAACCATTTAAAAATAGTAATTCCTAGGCTAAACAGAGGCTAGGATTTATCCGGGAGACAGGGTAGAAAATGACCAGAAAGAATACAATAAATCCCTTAACCTAAACAGTGCTTACCATTGGACAATACTGAAATTTAATGAGATTAATGAATACAACCTTAAAAAATCTTTTCTGGAAAATCTGGTAGCTTTGTTACATTATAGGTTACAAACAATTCTTCAGCATGAATGAGAATTTATGGCCTTGCTTTCTATACGGTAATAAATACTAGGGGCACTTTGATATTTGAGCACACTGCCTGAGATGCCCTTACAGAAGCCTGTTTTTCAGGGGGTCAGTATTTCTCTCTTTCTGGAAATCAAGGCGTCTCAGGTATTTCTGCATTGCTGAACACAGTCACTCATGTCAGCACTAAACAACTCCCATTCTGCAGCCAGAAATGGCATGGCCATGACAGGGTGATGCTCTGCTTGAGTTGACTACATCTCTGGAGAGGCAGGATTTACCAGGTTGGGGCTGTGCTTCATGTCCATGTACTGCCTGCAAGGTACTGGCAGAGGCTTGTGGCCACCACTGGTGTCTCCTGCAGACAAAATATCTCACACGGAAAAAAGACTTTGAAAATTCGCATTTCCTTCTGAAGTTGTTAAACATTTGAAATCTGCCAGCATGAGAAGTTTTGAAATTGTTCAATTGGCTATTTCCAAGGCATATTTATTATACCACTTGCTTTCAARCAGTTGTATTTTGCCTATTTCATGTCATATGACTCATCTCAATACAGATGCATTTAGAAATGATTTATTCATTTAGACACACTTGGGGRTTTAATTTTTTCAAGGAAAAATCCTTCTGTGGGAGGACACCATCCTGTACGTGCACATATCAAAGAAGAAAATGCAGTAACCACATCAGACATTCCCMATTATTCCCTAAAGGAAATAACGAAAAGAAGGAGTTTTTGAAAAGGAGTCAAACTTTATGTGGTATTATGCAATGATGTCTTTTCTTTGATACAGCTCTAAAGCAATTATGTCCCAGCTCTCCACGTCACATGAATGTAGTTCTGCCTGCAACTTGCAAATGATAAACTGCAGCCAGGGAATGGAAGGGAGATTTGCATCGACAGCCCTAGAGGAAAGAGGGTATTTGTTTGGGACTCTATCCATCCAACTGTGACAAATGAAGGCAAGAAAAAATTCAGGTAATCAAGAGAGGTACGAGAAYGTAATGAAGGCTGCAGAGACAGAGGGAGAGATGTAGAAAACATACACATAGAATGGTTTMRGTTGGAAGAGACTTAAAAATTATCCAGTTCCACTTCCCCCTGACCCAAGGGCAGGGACACCTTCCACAGGATAGGGTTGGTCAAGTCCCCATTCAACCTGGCCTTGAACWCTTCCAGGGATGAGGCATCCACAACTTTCCTAGCCAACTTGTTCCACTGCCTCATCATCCTCACAGTAAAGACTTTCCCCTCTGTATCTGATCTAAACCTGCCTCCTTTCAGTTTAAAGCTGTTCCCTTGTCTTACCACTACATGCCTTTGTAAAAAATCGCTCTCCAGCTCTCTTGTAGGACMTCTTTAGGTACTGGAGGGTGCTCTAAGGTCTCCCCAGAGCCTTTTCTTCTCTGGGCTGAACAACCCTGGTTCTATCAGCCTGTTGCCATAGAAGAGGTGCTCCAGCCCTCTGAGCCCTCTTTGTGGCCTCTGGAATTGCTGCAGCAGGTCCACGTGCATCTTACACCGGGAACCCCAGAGCTGGATACAGCACTTGAAGTGGGATCYCACCAGAGTGGAACAGAGGGGCAGAATCCCCTCCCTTGCCCTGCTTTTGATGCAGCCCAGGTTGTGTTTGGCTTTCTGGGCTGTAAGTGCACATTGCTGGGTCATGTTGACTTTCTCATCAACCAACACCTACCAGTTTTCCCCTTGGAGCTGCTTTCAATAATGCTAAACAACATCACAGGACCTGAATATCAGAATAGGAAATATACTATAAAATTAAGAAACAGCTATGGGACCTTTACTTATGTTTGCCTTGCTGGTGCAGGGAAATACTGAATTTAGTGCAAACTTCATCCTTATAAAGTAGTAATTTCAAAACTTTTATAGTTACTGACATATGACTCTAGATATAACTACCATACAAAGGAGATGTAACTTCCTTCCCCTTGTACCATCTGCAGATCAAACACAKAGACCGGTGATATTCTCCCCACACAGAGCAGTAAATCAAACACCATCTTCTGTGTTTTTCCTTGCAGCAGGTGCTCAGAGGCAGTGCAGAGTCCCCTGCTTCAGCCTTGGCAGTGCATGTGAGGTGCTCTGCAAAATTGAGATCCTGCAGGGATGATGTCACTCACTTTAGAAGATCCATTTGGCCATGTTAAATGAGACATTGCTGGAAAGGCTCAAGGTTAAAACATGCATTCACAAAACTGGGAAAAGAATTTCACGACTCTTTAGAAGCCCACTTTGGAGCCCAGATGCAGTTGCAACATAGYTGGAGCCACTACTTTCATTCAGAGAGATCCAAGTCCGCTCTTCTCTACAGCACTAACAGATGGTAGGTTTCAGTATCTCCATAACTGCGTATCTCAGACTCAGCTGAGAATATCTCAGACACTCTCTCTGACTGTTTAAATTTTTGTGTGTTACAAAGAAATATTACCCACTTGTTAAAAAAAATAAAACCCAAATCCACCCACCATGCTACTACTCAAAAGCGTGAGGGACTTCAAACAACAACAAAAAAATCTTTGCACAAGACCTACAACAAGAATTCTGTGAAGCCTCWGGCTGGCTCTCACTTTAGCTACATCACAGACAATCATAAGATTGTATAACCCACCCCCTTTCACAAAGGAGCAAGACCAAAAGGAAAGTGAAAATTCCAGAATCCACAGAAATTCCAGGCAGAAAAACAAAGCAAACCAAAAGCATTTATTTCATGATGAGCAGATATCCAGCTACCATTTCAAAATCAAGCCCTGGCACTGACACAGCTTTAGCATGGAATTAATTGAATATAGCGTTAAGAGGTGCTACAGCTCACTGGGSATCCCTGTCCAGGCCCTCAGAGATCACAGGGATCTTTGTGGGCCTGTGATCCCACGCCACACTTTATAGGGGCAGGATCCAACATCCACCTGAGTGGGAAAGCAGAGGCGTAAACAGCTGCCATTCCAGTAAGACGTGGATAGGAGCACGCACCACACCAGACAGAGAGCTTCAGGCTCTCATGTTCACCTATAAACCTGTATCTGATGTGGGAACAACCACTCGAGATAAAAATAATTGTCAAGGGAAGATAGGTTACTTTCAAGTTCTTCAAAGATTTCTGTACATAGCTGCGAGTAAAATAAAATCTTAAAAGGGCAATGTGTTGGCAGCCGTCACCCAAACATGTTTCGAAAATGGTTATGACAAAGCTCTCTGCCAACATTTCTGCAAAAAACTACAAGCTGCTAAAATGAATGCTTTGGTTTTCTGAAAAATAGTATGCAAATACTGTACAATTGCAACAAAGATAATAAGTAGAGTTGTGCTTGAACACATAGTTTTAATTTAATTTATATCTAAACACGCTGGCCAAATTCTGTTCACAGCTATGCCAGACTGCTAAAGTATAAGGCAAATAATCTTAAATTGTTTAGATTTTATCAGCTTAATGAATGTCTCTTCCACAGTCTAAACCATGGCTTGAACATGTCCAATTGTTGTGYTTCAAACCAG